TCCCAAGGCCTGTTTTCTAAAAATCTCTTGGACAAAACTGAGGCAAGCAATGTAGCCCAAGGTCACAAAGCTCAGTAAATAACAGAACCAGGATTGGAACCCGATTATTTGGTTCTGAGCCCACTGGTCTTTATACTATTACCCCACAGTAAGGGAAGAAGGGGTCAAAACAAGTTATGAAGCTGGACAGAGGGAACTGTTAGAAGTTAGGAAGTAGGAAAGAAAACTTGTCGCAGCTTATATGGAATATTTAGGGTACTATCAAATTAGCTACGGTTTCCATGAGAAGCCTTTTGCATTATGGATATGCACACGTTTATACATAGAATATCAAACGCTTCACCACGGAGGTACTGAGTATCTGTCACATGCCTCCTTAATATTGCCACTGTACAGGCTCCACACTGCTTCGAAAATTAGCTTTACCAGGCAAACTTCAGCCTGGATCCAATCCCTGAAGATGTGTTACACAGAGTAATCAGATGAGACTCTATAACATGACATTTTAAACTTCTCTTTCTATGATCCCCTAAGCAGAGCTTGGTTTTCAAGGCTCTCCTTCTGAACAGGCTCCTCTGCACAGCTCGCACAGAGCTGTGTGATCCTCATATGACCGGACAGGTGAAGAACCCTGACAGCATGCCCGCACCCTGGCGAGCTCTGCAGACGCACGTGGGCGTGATACAGGATCTTGCTCAGAGCGCTGTGCCTGAAACCTGCTCGTGGAAAAGCTGCTCAACCCACCCAGGCTCCCTAAACCGCACTTCCAGCGCGGCGGGTGGGGGAATTGGAGCAGAAGGGGGTGGTATCAGCTCGGAAAGCCTCAAGCAGCTCTGGGATTGGAAAGAGAGACGCATTCTGAGGTTGCCTAGCGATCAACCTCCCCGTGACTTTCTCTGGGAGGCCGGCCTCCCCCTCCCGCCCGCTCCCAGCCCGGCTTTCCTTCCTCCCTCCCCCCACTTCCCTCTCCCACGCCGGGGTTCAAAGTGCTGCCGCGCGGGGTGAGGGCGCCAGAGCCGGACGCGGCGCTGTCACGTGCGCCCGCACATGCTGGGGTGCACGCTGG